CGTAATTTACATGTATTATTTAAGCTTCAAAGTGTTAATTGAATTAAATACTATTGGCCTTATTCATAAAAAATAAAGTAGGTTTAAAGAGCTTTTATAAAATTACGTTTTACTACTTACTAGTTTATTTTTTATGAATAAGGCCATATGAATGCAAATATCTCGCAAAGGCGAAGAAAACACGAAACTGAGAAAATGATATATGTACATATGTACATGTGTGTACCTCGCTAATTTATTTTTATTTCGATTAGCCGAAATAGCAATGGCTAAATTGAAATTGTGATGGAATTCCGTCAGTGATTTTGAAGCTTCTTCCAAAGCTGTGGTTAATTGACATTCTGGCTGTAAATTAGTAACAGAAAACATGCAGCTGCTCACTTCTCGGAAGTCTTCAGAGTTTTTGTACGAAATCACCGGCCACAAAGGAATTACCTGCATGCATGCATGGAGTTAATGCATGCAAATACATATCCACATACATATGTGTGTATCTAAAGGAAAGAATCGCGCTCAGGGAAAGATCCACATACCTGATTATATATATATTAATGTATCTATCTGCTCGTTAAAAGCAGTTTCTAACTACATACATATCTGGAACATTTAATTTTGGTATATTCCTGGTATAAAAGAATGGAACTTCAAACATGTAGCAGCAGTACTACAGATCACTATCATTGAAAACGGTTGAATTTAAAAATTGTAACTCCAAAAACAACAGGTAATTTTCTTTAGTAAAATATGAGTTAAGTTTAAATCTTTGCGGGTATGAATTTGTTTATGTTTTTCCTTTCACAACAGCAATGGAAAAGTCAATTTTAGAACTGAATGATGAATGTTTACTGGCGATATTTGAAAAAATGGGAAGAGTTGCACAAGGGATGTGGTCACGCGTCTGCAAGAGATTTGCAAAAATCTACTGCGAATATTACATTCATAAACTTATCATACAAGGCTATGACGATACACTTTTAGATGACCGTTTCGTTCAAATTTTTGGTCACTTGATCGGAACAGAATTGTTTCCCTTGAAAGATATCAAGTCGCTGAAATTCGATGAAACCTGTTCCATATATTACAACAAATTCTTCTTCAACATGCTGCGACACGATCATCCGAGTATCGAACGGATAGAACTATATGGATTTTTAGATAAAGACATAAACAATTTATTGCCACTGCCAAATGTTAAGCGCTTGCATTTCAAATACACTACAATAACTGGTAAGTTGCCCTTAAATATTTACTTTTTATGTGTGTAATGTTTAAATATTTTCACAATTGTATGTTCGTACGTACGTTGCTGACACATCTGTGTATGCATTTTTGTAGGCAAACACTTAGATCAGCTGCAAACTCTGGAGGAATTAAAGATGGAAGGCGCATCCAGTTTTGAATCCAAACAATTGCTCGTCATTGCCAAAAACAATAGGCTGCGCAAACTAATAATACGCAATAGTCCAGTGGTATTTGCTCCAAAGCATGCACTGGAAATAGTAGGAAATCTTAAATATATTGAGGAACTGGAACTGAATTGGAATGAAATTCGACAGTACCAAGTTTTAGGAGCATTACCTCGATTAAAAGCGCTAGTCATTAATGATTTCAAAACATTTCAATGTCCGAAATGTAAAGAGTTCGATCGAGGCGTAATTACGCGACCTACCAATGCAAACAACTTTGGTATGTGCAACTGCGGGCCATATGAGGCGAAGTTTCTATTCAGAGCGCTGGCAGAAAACACGAAAATGGAGCAGCTCATATTCATTGGCTATCGATTGACAACGCGAGATCTCAAACACATTTCACAGCTGACAAGCTTGAAGATACTCTACTTGGCGGTAGATAACCTGCCTGTCTACATTTCTTTAGCTATATTTGGCAAAATGCGACACTTGGAGGTGCTTGATTTGGGATTTTCCTGGAAACTGCCAAAAGATGCACTAGAACTATTGAAAAATTGTGAAAACCTGAAATTTGCAAATTTCGGCAATTGCGAAGGATTTAAAGATGATTTTATTTTAAAAGCTATAGACATCGTAAAGAGTAGAACACCGACTTCTGCGGAGCCAATAAGACTACAGCTTTTGAATGCAGATATTGAAAAAGAATTTCTAGAGGTAATTGTAATATACATAAAATGGCGGAAAAAAGCGACTGAATTAATATGTTGATTGTTTTATTTGTTATTTTTATTTTTAGGAGGAACATGTCAAGGCTGCCGAATCTTGGATAACATTTTATTGTTATATGCAATCTGAGCAAAAAATTCGCCTCGGTCGTAATAATTATTATCAACTTGCTTGCTAAGTTAAGCGCTGCGGAGGAAGAGCAACTTGGCAACAAACTGGTTAAGAGAGTGATATAGGTTATATCATAGGTTTATCATTTTTAAAGCTGCTGTATACTTAAAAAGTTTTGAGTTTGTTTCTTGCATTGGTGATATGATGGCAAAATTTTCCTATTACTTGCAAAAGATGTATGAAACATACATACATAAAAAAACTTTTTGCAAGCAACACTGTCGCTGCTGAAACGTATGTATGTATGTACGTACATATTTTAATTTATATGTATTGAAAGTATTTTAGCAATAAATCACTCTGCACCCGTTAGTTACACTAAAATTACGATAATACTCACATTTGTAATAGAAATATTCAAAACTAGAATTACTTAGAATTTGGCACGTTTAGGAGTATTTACGCTTTTATACTGAAAAAAAAATTTTAAATTTCGAAAGTCTCAAAATTTATGCAAAATATTATTTCGAGATTTCCCCATTTTTCACTTTTTAATTATTAGGTAATTATAAATTAGTGTTTTATCTTAAACTCGAAATTTATCAAACCTTGTGTAATATATACATAAGTACATACATATGTATGCACCTAGAATTAAGCTTCGAGCTTTCAACGTTGATATACATACATACAAACATATGTATTTAGGGTTGTCATCTATTTAATTTATTTTTGTTTGTAAGCGCAGTTATTATGCTGGACGATATACATGTAACTTCTTTAAGGTAGAGCAGAGAAAATTTACGATAAATGTTTTATACAATAAATAAAAAGTTCCATTATGTTTGTATAAGCAATGCAATGATCTTAAAACAAATAGCCTAGGCTGCAAAACTTGCAAAATAAATGTCTTTTACTAAAAAAAAAATCTCATAAACTTTTATACACATATCCTTTTCTAGTGGTTTCTTTTAATAACTCGTATTTAGCTAAAAATAGATTTCTCAACTGATGCGCTTCAAATTCGCAATTCCTTTGCTTCTTTTAATTACACACAAAAGTGCAAAATTCATTCATGAGCAGCTACAACAAATACATTCGCTTCATACGCAAGAGTTGGACTCTCAATCGCCCAAACTTTTTGTGCTTTTTTCCTGTGCGCTTGCGCCAAACGGAAGTCTCCAAAAAGGAAATGGATGTATTGCGAATTGTGTAACAATAGTTAGCTGTCTCCTTTTCGTCCACGATACAACCAGTCTAGGCTGGTAGCGAAAATTCCAACACATTTTCGTGGTTGCGTACTTTCGAATATTCAGCGCGCACCCGAGCGACGTGGAGCTGTAGCCGAGCAAGGAAAATATTTTCGCAGTTGGATAAAAATTTACCGTAAGTGAAAATGTGTTCTACGCATGAAAAATATATGGAAAATTAATTACTGTTCTTAAAAAAAGTGTAAAATACATAACGAAATATTAAAAACAAATCAAGTATTCGAGGATTTATAGAATACAGCACTGATTGTGTTGCCTACTAGTTTTTAATAGCGTAAATGAATTTTTTTTTTCGCTAGCGAAAAAACTATTGAAGTGTTGAACCAGGTGTCACTAATGTAATGATGCGAAAAATTTCATTGATTTTTCTACGCTGGCAAACGTTGTGAAAATAGTGCAGAAAAAATAAATAATTAGCATTTGGACTACATTGCATCACTCAATACGCAAATATTTTTTCTTTTATTCAATAATTATAATCTTAAGTTGAAGGTGTGAAGTAGGCATTTTTGCTTAAATTTTTTTTATGCATAAATAATAGTATCAGTTTTACATACATTTATTCTTTAAAATTGTTTAAAATGCAATATTGCTATTCTTCTCCATTTCCCAAATAAAAAACGGCCAACATTGTAGTGTCAAGTTTCGCTTGTAAAACATAATTTTAATAAGGGCTGAATAGACTTCAACATCTAGTG